CCTCCCAGGTTCAAGTGATTCTCCTGCCTCAGCCTCCTGAGTAGCTGGGATTACAGGCATGCACCACCACGCCTGGCTAATTTTGTATTTTTAGTAGAGATGGGGGTTTCTCCATGTTGATCAGGCTGATCTCGAACTCCCGACCTCAGGTGATCTGCCCGCCTCGGCGTCCTAAAGTGCTGGGATTACTGGCGTGAGCCACTGCGCCCGGCCCTTTTGTTCATTTTAAGTTGAGTTATTTATTTTCTTATTGCTGAGTTTGGCAAATTCTTGATATATTCTGGAAATAAGTCTTTTGTCAGAAATGTGATTTGCAAATATTTTCTCTCAGTCTGTGGCTTGTCTTCTCATTCTCTTAACAATGTCTTTCACAGAGCAAAAGTTCTAATTTTAATAAAGCCAAATTTTGTCAAAATTATACAAATATTAGTTTTTTTTCTATTATGGATCACATTTTTGGTGTCATATCTAAAAATCATTTGCCTAACCCACGGTCATGCGGATTTTCTCCTGTTTTGTTCTAGAAGTTTTATAGTTTTGGCTTTTGCATTTAGGTTTATGATCCATTTAATTTTTTTTATTGCAATGAAATATGCATGATAAAATTTGCCATTTAACCATTAAATTTAACATTTTAAAGTGCACAATTCAGTGAGATTAAGTATATGCACAATGTTGTGCAACCATCGCCACCATTTATTTCCAGAACTTTTGCTGTGACCCATTTTGAGTTAGTTTTTGTAAAAGTTGTGAAGTTATAGGTTGAGATTCATTTGTTTCACATGTGGACGTTCAATTGTTCCATCGCCATTTATTGAAAGACTATTCTTTTGCCATTTAATTGTCTTTTCACCATTGTTGAAAATCAGCTGAATTTGTATCTTTTCAATTTTGTTGTGGGGCTAGTATTTCAGAAACCACATAACCAGCATGTGCTGTACCCTCTGATTAAACTGTTGTGCTTTTGAACTACTGGTTTGTGAGGTAAGCCTTCATGGTACTGAGAGGTGGGTCTGAAAGCACTTAGGGGTGGGAGGTGAATTGACTGTACAGTTAATCCAAGGAGCTTGGCTTACATTTTGAGGACAGTGGGAGTTTGCAGTAAAAGGTTTTAGGCAGCAGTGATCTGATATGATTCACACAGTGAAAGATTGCTCTGGCTGCAGTGTGGAAAATGGATCCAGGCAGAGGAGAATCAACACTAGTCAGGAATGGCTAGAGGAAGTGGATCCACTGAATAAATACAAAGAAGGTCAAACCACTTGGATTTGAGAATCAATCAGATATAAAAGAGAAAGAGGAGAAGAAAAAAGCGGGGGCCAGGATAGCTCAGTACATGGCTGTGCCACTCCTAAAGGAGAGAACAAAGGAGCTGGGGCAGGAGTCTTTTGGAGGATGGTGGTGGGGAGGTGATGAGTACAGCTTTGCCTGGGTTGAGTCTTTGAGTTGCCGCTGGGGTGTCCTTTGGGAGAGGTCCACAGGCAAAAAGATTTATGGGTCTGTGGCCCAGAAAAAGGATTTGGGTTAAAAATGTAGATGTGTGAGTTTTCAGCATATGGATGGTATTTGAAGCCATTGGAGTGGTGAGACTTTCTCAAGAAGGGACAGTGGAGTAAGAGGAGGGAAGAGGCCAAAGGAGAAATCCTAGGAACATCATCAGGAAAAGGATGGTGGTGAGAGGAACAGAAGTGAAGGACACAAGGATAGGACATCCACCAAGACAAGCAGAAAACAAGAATGTCACAGAAACCGAGGGAAGAGAATCTTACAAGAAGGGGGAAGTTATGCAAAATTACAGAATATTCAAGAAATAATAATGCTTACGGCGTGTTCTTTCTGCAGGACCCTACTATCCTCAACAAGGAAAGCATCAGGAACAGTGAGGAGGGAGTTTTGGTAGCGTGATGGTGGTGGAAGCTATATCATAGTGGAATGAGCATGAATAAGAGTGAGGAATTGTAGACAGCAGCTGCAGACAACTCTTGCAAGAAGATTGGCTGTGAGAGGTGGGAACGCAGGGGCTAGCTGGAGGGGACCTGGCACTGAAGAAGGGCTTCTTGACAGGAGTGATTTGAGCATGTCTTAAATGTTGATGAGAAGGGGTCAGTGAAGGAAAGGAGAGGGGTAGTAGAAGGAGCGTCATCTCAGAGGAGGCAGGCAGGAGGTGGTCCGGAGCATGGTGGAAGTTCCAACTGCTGTGTTGGGAGAAGAGGAAAAGGTAGTTAGAGATGCTGGTCAATGCATTGTTGTAGCAACAGGGATTAGAGAATTTACACTTGGTGGCTCTATTTTTTCTCTAAAGTTGATGGGGAGATAATCTTCTGAGAGCAAGAAGGGAGGCAATAGGGCAGCAAGTTTGAAAAGAATGATCATTGTAAGAATGGGAGAGAAAGCTAATTAAAGAGCATAGAATTGCTGGGGAGGGTTGAGGGCAGAAGAGAGGTTGGAGACTAGCACATTAATGGCCTCAGTCTATGGAGTTGATAATTTTATTCATCGGTGCTCAGCAGCCCAGATGTAAGAGCCAAGAAGAATAGTTTTACTGACCTATGCAGATATAATCCAAGAACAATGGTCAGGAGAGTTGATGATATTGGGGACAGTGATTTAAAAGAGGGGTCATGGGAATTCCATGTTGGATAGAGAAAGAAATGATGACTGAGAGAAAGCTTGAGAAGGACAGAATAGAGAAATCAAGGGTTTGATGGAGTTAAAAGATGAAGTAGAAGTGGGAGAGGCAGAAAGCCATGAGAAAGCCATGCCCTCAGAGTGGGTGTGTGAATTTATGATTTCAGAGGGGAAACAGTGCCCAGTGATGACATATCCAAGGTGCAGCCAGGGAAGGGAGTGTCTGAAGTACATGGAAATGAAGGTCATTGAGGAGATCATGGCAATGAGCTTCCAGGGGTTAGGATGACTCATCCACACTGGTGACAGGAGGACTAGAGGTAGGGAAGAAGACAGTGAGTCCAGGGCTGAAGTTTCAAGGAATCGGGGAGTGGGCAGGAGGTCAAGGAAAGTCAAGGTTGAGGTTGGGGTAAACATTGATGAGTGCCTGATAAATCTCTAATGAACACATGGATGCATGAATCAGTGAATAAGTGAGCAAATGAATCCAGTAATTCAGACTAATCTGGCGTACATTCTGGGAATATCTAGCCATAAATCTTGAGATTCCCAAAGAAAACACTAGGCTCAGAGAAGGCAGATCACTAGGAGTATAGAGGCCTTGGGTTATCATAAGAGTTGAAGATGAGCAAATCTTTTCAGCCTATCCTATCTGAGAAGCTGTTTGTGCTCTCTAGACCAGCCCATGTTCAATACAGTAGCCATAAGGTCCTTGCAGTATTCAGGACCTGAAATAAGGCTAGACCAAATTCAGATGTGATGTCCAAGTAAAACACACACTGGATTTTGAAGACTTAGTACAAAAAAAGAACATAAAATATCTCATCTTGAACTATTGATTACAAGTTAAAATACAAAATTTTTGGATCTATGGGGTAAAATAAAATATTATTAAATTAATTTCACTTGCTTTATCAATTGATTTATTTTTACTTTTTACACGAGGCTACTAGAAAATTCTAAATTACATGTAGGGTTCACAGTGTATTTCTTTTGGGCAGCCCTGTTCCAGGCGTTGGTCAGTAGCCTCTGTGATCCTGAAGAAAGCACTATGCCGCCCCAATATTTGTACATGTTCAATCAATAAGTTAATAAATGTAGCCACTCTGTTGGAATTCCACATATATTTGTTGTCATAAGTAAAATTTTAGCCCTCAAGGGCTTAAATTTCTTGTACACTGGAAATGTCCCTTTAAGAGAGCATCTTAAGTCTCTCAAAGTATTGCAAAACCTCCCACTTGCTCCATTAGATAGGTTCTGCACCCTGGAAACCATGGCGGTGATGGATGCAGGTACTCACACTTGTCTTCATTGTTAGCACAGTTGGAATGAATTGAGGGAATTGTCTCTCTTCTTGGGATATTTCTGACACAATGAGGTTGGAGACTGTGCAGATTGCACTTGTAATTTTCCTCTGACTGGGGAAGCCTAAGGCTCCACTCCTTCAGGCCCAATCTCCTTGGAACCTGTAGTTACTGGCTTGCTTAGTAATACTCATTACAGTCGGAAGGGCAGGAACCCTATTTTAGCCAGAAACTGTGGAAGAAGATCCTATGTCAGCAGCGTCCGGAGCTGTTTTTTCCGCCCAAATCCAAAAATGTAATAGTAAACATTGAGAGTTGACGCTGGGTCAGGCACAGTGAGGAAACTGAGGCCCCAAGACCTTAGCAACCTGAGAGGTTCCACAGGTAAAAAGTGGCAGAGCTAGGATCTCAGCGTAGGTGGTGTTGAGATCCACCACACTAACTCCAAAGTGTGTGATCCTCATATCATCCTACACCTTCCAACACAACTGATTATGGACCAGGAAACAAAAAGAGGGAAGCCTCACTTAATTGGTCTCAGAAGAACATGGATCAGTTGGGCTGACACATTGTGCCCACGCATGTGCATTGAACAGCCCAGTTGAGACTAGATCCTTTAGCAGAGGTTCCCAAACCATGCATTGGAATAAGTGTTTAAGGGCCTCATTCCAGGGCTGCTAAATCAGAACTCTGGGAGTAGGGCCTAGAAATTTGTATTTTGAAAGCATTTTCCCAGTGGAGATAAGGGAACCATTACCCTTGATTAGGATCTGATTTGGAACTTGGACTTCTGGATAACTCATGGTACAAAATGGAAGGGAGGGTACAAGGAGGGTTTTACTCAAGCCACATCAAAGGAGGGGGCCTGACCTCAGGAGCGCCTTTGGTAGATCCACCATTTGTGCACTAATTTCTAAGCAGCTTCCCAACCTTCAGATTGCTGGGGCCTCTGTTTCCTCTCAAAGGGATGAGTGCTGTTGCCTGAAGGCAGGCAGACATTGCCACCTCTAGAACTAAGGGTAAGTAGTGGGAAGGCCACAATAACTCTCTCCTTCTTCCTCCTTTTAGCCTTTCAGTGTTATGATGTACCCAGCTGGTCCAGGATCTGGTGACTCCCCAGAAGGCTTCCCTGAACAACCAAGTCTCCAGCCACAAATTGGAAATCGCACAACTCAGACACTGGGTACTGAAACTGGGTGCATCATCCAGTCCCTCCTTCAGAGCCTGTTTGGGGCAGAAGACTGGGGGAGGGAGACTGGGGAAGAGAGACTCAAAGAGGTTGCTGGGTGGCACAGAAGTGATGGCAGAACTGGCCTTCATTTAGTGACACATGCTTTGTTCAACCAGTCAACAAAGGCTTATGTGGTGGCTAGTAGTGCTAGCGAATGCAGATTTGGCCGCTTGCAAAACCCATGAGCAAGGTCGTGGTATGGTAGAAGTAGACTGACTTTATCATAAACCAAAGCTAGCAGTGGGGAAAAACGATCCAGGCTTTTGCTTTAATGGAACTGCTTCACATTTCCAAGCAAAATGCAAGGCTTTAAGAAGTTTTGGTATGGAGGATATGCAAGGGGTGAGGCAGTGCAGGTCTTCATGACGAGTTCTGATGACTTACCTTGAGTTACTGCCCATCTGGTGAACAGGCTGGCATCATCTTGGGCTAGGCTGAGTTGTAAATTAACTGTAGCCTTGAAGCAATCTCCTGGTGGGGGAGATTTCCACAGATGCCTATGCTGTTTCAAGATTTAGTCTTTGGAACTTTTTTTTTTTTTTTTGAGACGGAGTCTCGCTGTGTCTCCCAGGCTGGAGTGCAGTGGCGTGATCTCGGCTCACTGCAAGCTCCGCCTCCCGGGTTCACGCCATTCTCCCGCCTCAGCCTCCCAAGTAGCTGAGACTACAGGCTCCCGCCACCACGCCCGGCTAGTTTTTTGTATTTTTAGTAGAGACGGGGTTTCACCATGTTAGCCAGGATAGTCTCGATCTCCTGACCTCGTGATCCACCCGCCTCGGCCTCCCAAAGTGCTGGGATTACAGGCTTGAGCCACCGCGCCCGGCCTAGTCTCTGGAACTTTTAAGCCAACATACAATTAGATATGCTAACAGTGTGTGTGTGGCGGGGGGATGGGGTGTCGGGGGCGGGGGTTGCCTAGTGGTTAACTGAACAAAAAGAAACAAGGAAATAAAAGAATATAACAAGAATATAACCTTCAAGCTGGGTACTTGGTTACAGTAGGTGCTTGGACTGTATTAGAGATACCTCAAGGTAAGCAACAACCAGCCAGAACTGGTCCCTGGCCTTGTGGACGTTTCTTCTCTCTCTCTCTCCTCTCTTTGTTCTCTCTCCTTTCTTTCTTGACTCTCTTACCAATGGGACACCCTGTTTTCCTGGATCAGGGAAAAGAAGACCCATTTAGAAAGTAGGGAAGGAGACAAAATCTTACTTCCTGAAGCAAGGTAGGACTCAATTTGTGACCTAGAATCTGAGACAGGGAAGTAGAGGCAGGAAAAGAGGGAAAATGGGGGAAGAACTCGCTTCCTTTCTGGGCTGAGAAGGGCTAGAAGTCAAGGTTAAGTGGAGCCTTAGAGCAAGTCCAGCTCTTCATTTTATAGGTGAGGAAACTGAGGGGCGAAGAGGTTATAGTGTGGTCACAAGGTGGACACCTAGTTAGCGGCAGAAGTGGGAATAAACGGTGGCCTTTGAATAACACTATGAGGCCTCCAGTGAGGCACTCAATTTTAATCCGGCACGCTTGGGTGGCAGCCGGGAGCTAGGCGAGGCTAGTTGCCATGGGAACGGTTCCTCCCACTTCCTGCGTGCGCACCCATAGACCTGCGCTCCCAATAAAGTTGTTGTTGAAGCGCGGCGGCGGGAGCGCTGGCTGCACCACGTGGGCCGGACCGGGCCGGGGGCGGGGCCGAGCTGAGGGAGGCCCTGCAGGCGGCAGTGAGGAGCGGAGGCGGGCGCGGGCGGCCGGCCATGATCGCTTCGTGCCTGTGTTACCTGCTGCTGCCGGCCACGCGCCTCTTCCGCGCCCTCTCAGGTACCGGCCAGGCGTACCGATAGACAGGAGCCCGGCCTGGGCCCGCCTCTGCGGGGCTCCGCGGGCCTGGGGCGGCGTGCGCTGGTCCGGGCCTCAGGACTGCGGTGCCCCGGGCAGTGCCGACGTGTAGGGAGGCGTTCCTGAGCCCCTGTCCCGCGGGCCCCTCCTGACCCCACGAGGCCTGGACCTGGCCGACGACCCTCGTGGGCGGCCCCGCCTCCCGCCTGTTGTCAGATGGCGTCCGGCCACGGTTAAGGTGGAGGGGAGCTGTGGACTGGCAGGGCCCTTTCCTGGCCCTGGGGGTGCAGAGAGATCATGGGGTCGGCCAAGTCAGCACCCCGGGGGGTCGGGAAGGGGTAGCAGCTCGGACCGAGGCGAGTGCCCAAATTCTCGGCGGGTGAGGCGGGTCGGCTCTGGGAGGTTTATGGCCGAAGTACTAGACGCACCGGTCTTCGCCAGGTTAACTTCACACTCACCTTTCACTGCCAGCTGGCAGCTCTTGCTCCTCTCTGGCCGGTGTCTGATTGAAAAACGGACGCTCAGTCAGAGACACATTTAGATCTCAGCTTTGGAGCATTCCCGCCCCCAGTCCCGGCGGTTTAGAGGGAGATGTGCTGGGGTGGGGGCAATGCTCAGTCGATACCTCAGAGGGAGTGGTTATTTCGTTACTTTTTTCATAATTTGTCTGCATTCTCAATTCCTGGTCTTTGAAATTACGGAGGGTTTTATGCGACCATCAGTTTCTGAGATCCCATGGAACTCGCAGACTTTTTGCCTTTAATTTATGGGACAGGACCAAGAAGTACTTAGAAATGAGGGCTCCAACTGTGTGTTTTGTGGTTTTCCTTTGTGGAACTTTACGCAATTGATACACAATGTGTGTGTCATTGATAATATATATTTCATATAGAAATATTTTAAATTTATTTTTACTGTGTATCTGCCATTAGAATGCAAACTTCAGGAGGGCAGGGCCACGCCCATTTTGTTCGCTGTGTCTCTGGTGTTAACACATTGCTTGGTATATAGTAGGCACTCAGTGAATTCAGGAATGTCTTGTGTGTCCATACCTCTGAGGAATGGGAAACTCCACAGAAGTAATTGTTTTCAGAGAACTAAGGATATTCTTTTAACTATGTTGCTGTTACTCCTGGAGCTCTTCTAATGCCCTCTATGGCAGCCTTAGTGATATAGTATGCTAGTCCAGAGGTTTCCAGACCAGTAGAGTCGTAGGGATCTCAGAGGAGGGCCCCTCCCCACCTACACATTACAGTAGTCCCACTTATATTTACTTGGCATATTTGGTTTCCAAATAAGATTTTTAAAAAACAGAAGCATTCTGCTGCTGAAAATCCACGACCACCACTGCCAAAAGACATCTGCCAAAATCGAAAGCCTCTAACATCGTGCATATGAACCAAAGAACCTCTGCCATCTGGTACACGCAGAGGATGTTTCAAGGGGCAGATAATTAGCAAGTCCTTGAGACTAAAGCTCAATGACCCAGTCCATAGGTTTAGAGCAGGGTTTCTCAATCTCAGCACTGTTGATGTTTTGGGCCGGATCATGTGTTGTGGGTCTGTCCTGTGAATTGTTGGAAGTTCAGCAGCGTCTCTGTCCTCTAACTACTAGATGCCAGTGGCACTGCTGCAGTTGTGACAACCACGGTGTCTTTGAACATTGCTAAATGTCTTCTGACGGCAAAATCACCGTGGTTAAAAACCATTGTTTAGAAGGACATAAATATACATAGGCTCCAAACAACATATTTGAACAGTCTTTCAATATTTGAGCCACTTTTAAGTTTTCTTGCCTTAAAAAAAAATTGCCAGTAAAATGAGTCTAGTGATTGAGGGCCAGCATCGTACATGTCACTTGTCCTGTGCTGTAAATAAATGGCTGAGTGTGTGAGTGTGGGAGTTGTTTGCTCTCACCAAAATGCTATGCTCAGAGTTTTTTTAGAGTTTTTCCCACGTTCTTTCTTGCCTGTTGGTTGTGATTTGCGGCTGCAGTAGCAAAGAGATGTCAGCTGTCTCTTACTGTCAATTGTTGGCACCTTGTAATTTATAGCCTCTGATGTGTTATGGAATGGGAAAGCAGATAATGAAGTTTGTGAAGATTTTATTACAATAAGTAGCTTTAAGAAGAGGCTTAAGGGCCTTTGCTGAGATGTAAATTGTATAGATTTTTGAGACTCTACTTTAGGACTTTTTCTTTTGGAGTACATTCATAGGTCAGGGAATTTATACAACTAGAAAAGCTCTTAGAGATTATCTAGTTCAAACTTTGCTTGTCTCTATTTTTTTAAATTAAATTTTTTTTTCCAATTTTTTTCAATTTTTTTTTTTTTTTGAAATGAGGTCTCACTTTGTCTCCCAGGCTGGAGTGCAGAAGGGCAGTCATAGTTCACTGCAGCCTCGACCTGGGCTCAAGCAGTCCTCTCATTTCAGCCTCCCAAGTAGCTAGGACCACGTGCATATGCCACCATACTTGGCTAATTTTTAATTTTTTGTAGAGATGAAGTTTCGTTATGTTGCCCAGGCTGGTCTGTAACTCCTGGCCTCAAGCGATCCTGCTGCCTCTGCCTCAGCCTCTGCCTCCCAAAGTGCTGGGAGCCACCACGCCTGGCCTCTTGTTCCCATTTTACAGTCAAGAGTAACTCCATCTGACTAGGGGCATTGTTCAAGGTCAGTTTTATTAATTTTGCTGCTAGATCTGATTCACAGTCAAGTGCTGGTTCTAATGTAATGTGATTCTTAGAACCAAAGAGTTTGTTAATAGTTTTAACTAAGTCATGTAAAAGGAGTGTGGTTATATGTGCCCATCTGTGTTCTAGATTATGTGAGAGAGCTGTTCTTTCATGCACTGAATATTTATCAGATCTCTGCCTTATAAATTAGTCACCACTTGTAAAGAACGGTGCCTGGCACATAGTGAATACTTTACCCTGATTATGATGATGATGTTCAGGCATTAAGGTGGGCAGGCTCGGTGATGGTACGATGAGCAAGGTGGATATGGGTCTTGCTTTTATTGGGCTTATGTTTTAGCTGGGAGAAGAGTGTGGATTGGATGACAGTCTTATAACCTGGTATTTTGGCTTTCCTCCTAGATGCTTTCTTTACATGTCGAAAAAATGTCCTTCTGGCGAAGAGCTCATCCTCCCAGGTAGAAGGCAACTTTGCCATGGCCCCTCGGGGCCCTGAGCAGGAGGAATGTGAGGGCCTGCTGCAGCAGTGGCGAGAAGAAGGGTCGAGCCAGGTACTCTCAACTGCAAGTGAGGGGCCCCTTGTAGATAAAGGACTAGCCCAGAGCAGCCTGGCACTTCTGATGGATAATCCTGGAGAAGAGAATGCTGCTTCAGAGGACAAGTGGTCCAGCAGGCAGCTGAGTGACCTTCGGGCAGCAGAGAACCTGGACGAGCCTTTCCCTGAGATGCTAGGAGAGGAACCACTGCCGGAGGTGGAGGGCCCTATGTGGGCAGCTATCCCCATGCAGACGGACCCCCAGTATGCAGACTGTGCTGTCCTCCCAGTGGGTGCCCTGGCCACAGAGCAGTGGGAAGAGGACCCGGCGGTGTTGGCCTGGAGCATAGCACCTGAGCCTGTGCCCCAGGAAGAGGCTCCCATCTGGCCCTTTGAGGGCATGGGGCAGTTGCAGCCTCCCCCAATGGAAATACCATATCATGGTGAGTCTGACAACTGACTGAGTGAGCCAAGGGAGCAGGGTGTCTCAGGTGTGGGCAGAGCCATTGCTAAAGAGAAGATTCTATGGTAGGGAGCTCTGCCACTGCATTCTATTTTTCTAAGAATCTTGGCGTGTAAGATCTAGAGGGGCCTTACAGATCATCTCATCCAGCCCCATGGTTTTAAAGGTGAAATAATCACAGTGCAAAGAGGTAGCAGAACATGCCTAAAGTCATAAAGCCAGGTAGGGGAAGAACTGAAAGCATACTCTAGTTCTGATTCTCCACAATATCATTTCTCTGGTGGTAACCCTAGAGCTTTCTGAGGGTAGGGATGGAGAGGTCTCAGGGCCTCTATTCTCTGTCTCAGTCACAATCACCTCAGTTTTATTTGTGTTGTATATTCAGAGTCCATTAAAATTTGAAGAAAGGCATCAATAGATTTGAAATCCACTATGCTGCCACATGCCATAGGGGAGATGGGGACACACTGTGGTTTCTAGTCCTACAGACTCTTCCAGGTTTAGGGATCAGAAAACACCCAGGGCTGCAGTTAACTCTAGAAATGTCTTTAACCTCAGGTGACTGTTAAGCACACTCATCTGAGTGATTCTCCAGAGATATATGGATTTATCAAAAATGAGAGATTGTCAGCTTGCATATATGGAGCATCTATGAGATGCTAGGTACTGTTGATGTAGTGGTAAGCAGGCCAAGATCTCTGGTTTTGTGGAGCTAACCATGTCATCTGAAGAATGTCCATAGAGTGCTGCTCAATTCCCCACAGAGAGGGATGGGTGACAGGGCAGATGGTAAAAGGAACTTCAGGCATAATATTACTGAGTCAGGAGTAATGGTGCCTGAGGAGATGGTGGTGCCTCTGCATTACTTGTACTTGCCATGGAATGCTTCTCCCAATCCCTTTTCAGAAATTTTGTGGCGAGAATGGGAGGATTTCTCCACCCAGCCAGATGCTCAGGGCCTGAAGCCAGGAGATGGCCCTCAGTTCCAGTTCACTCTGATGTCTTATAACATCCTGGCTCAGGACCTGATGCAGCAGAGCTCAGAGCTCTATCTACATTGCCATCCGGACATCCTCAATTGGAACTATCGCTTCATGAACCTCATGCAGGAATTCCAGCACTGGGACCCCGATGTGAGTGAGGGGGGGAGTTGCCATCTTGCATTGTTGCTGGACCTGGGCTGTTTCCCAGTGCTCTTAGAAGATGAGTTCAACCCCATAGTTGTTCAAATGATTGGAGTCCTATCTAGGGATAGAGTTTGCCTGCCTGGTGTCAGTGAGTTGTTGGCAGGTGCTGAGAAGAATCTCCCTAGGTGTGCACTTTCCAGCACCTTTATGCAGGAAGGGAGGCTTGAGGGATTCAAGGAGCAGGAAAATCCAGTGCACATGTCTAATCTCTTCAGCTTAGGTCTGGGCCTGTTCTTGCTGTTGGTGACTGGGAAGTTTCACTGTGACCCAGCAGCTTCCTACCTGGCCTCAGGACCTGCTCCTAGAGGGTGGGGGTCACATTCCAGCACTCCAGAGTGATTGGGTTTCTTGTCAATTTCCCAGATCCTGTGTCTCCAGGAAGTCCAGGAAGATCATTACTGGGAGCAGCTGGAACCCTCTCTGCGAATGATGGGTAATGCAGCTCCCTGGGATGCTTGCCAGCTTTTCTTTCTACAGCCTTGCCTACTCTCTCCTGAAGACCCCATCCTTCCCTTTTGTCTTGGTAAACCCTCAGTTGCACCTGTGAGCTAGCTCCTTCCATGTGTGCCTGAGAAAGTAGAATTCTGCAGTTTTAAAGCAATTCTGACATACATTGCTATTTGATCCTTGAAGTAACCAATGTGGTGAGACTGTTATTATTCCCATTTTACAGATGAGAAAACTGAAGTTCTGAAAATTCGTGTGACTTCCTCAGAATCACAAAGCTACAAAGCTAGTAGATGTGGAGCTAGGAATCCAGCTTGTCTGACTCTAGATTCTGGGCTCTTTTCTATCATGTTACATTGCTTCATACCCTTCCCTCCTTGCCCTTCCAGCCCCTCAGTCACCTAGTTACAACTGTAAGGGGGAACCTGCTGAACCAAGGAAGTGGCAAAGGCTTCTTTACTGAGTAGTAGGAACAATGCCTCAGGGGCACACACTGGGACTGCTGGTGCTGGTTGGAAGGGATTCAGGCTTTAAGGACTCTGACCCATCTCCTTGGTGGGGTTTTCCTTGCAGGCTTTACCTGTTTCTACAAGAGGAGGACCGGGTGTAAAACCGATGGCTGTGCTGTTTGCTACAAGCCCACCAGATTCCGCCTGCTTTGTGCCAGCCCTGTGGAGTACTTCCGGCCTGGCTTGGAGCTACTTAATCGGGATAATGTGGGCTTAGTGTTGCTACTGCAACCACTCGTCCCAGAAGGCCTGGGGCAAGTGTCGGTGGCCCCGCTGTGTGTGGCAAATACCCATATCCTTTACAACCCACGCCGGGGTGATGTCAAGCTGGCCCAGATGGCCATTCTCCTGGCAGAAGTGGACAAGGTGGCCAGATTGTCAGATGGCAGCCACTGCCCCATCATCTTGTGCGGGGACCTAAATTCTGTCCCTGATTCACCTCTCTACAACTTCATCAGGGATGGAGAGCTCCAGTACCATGGGATGCCAGCCTGGAAGGTGAAATGGGAGAGGCCACAGTGGGGGTGGGAACATGGTCTAGAGAGAGATTCAGCTGTTAGCATCAGTGCTTCTTCTGTGGCAGGGACCTCAGTACACCTGCTCTGGCCTGTTCCTCCTTTTTCTTGTTATGTTGAATAGCTTGTACCCAAGCCTGGAAGTTAAGAATTCTTGAGTACTTTGGCATGTTGGGATTTTTTTCAGTTTTTATCATTTATATTTTTAATTCACAAGTAGTACGTGAGTATGTACTTGGAGGAACTTAAACATTATACAGTAAGGCACAGGCCTGTTTTATTACTCACATTCCCTTTCTATTCTCTTAGAGTCACATAATGACCATTCTAAGTTTGGTGGTAGTCTTTTAGCTTGTTTTCTTTGCATTTACAGTGATATCTATGTTCCTATGATACTGTAATCGGTGTTTACATTTGTTAAGCACTTAACTCTCTGCCATGTGCTATTTTGAGCACTTTATACTCATTAACTCATTAGTTTTCACAATTTCCATCATGGCTTTCATTTTATAAATGAGGAAATTAAAGCCCAGAAAAGTGAAGTAATTTGCCGTAGGTTATGTGGGTAGTTAGTGGTGGAGCCAGGATTTGTAACCAGGTGGTCTGGCTGCAGAGCTCTTACCCTCAAATACTGTGCTGTGATTGCTTATAACAGCCAATATGTAATCTGCCATGTGTGTTTTATAAACATGATACACTACTATATGTTTCATTTGTAGCTTGTTTTTTTCCACTCAGCAATTTGCATATGGATCTCGTTCCTTCTAACTGTTGAGTGTTGATGACACACCTCATAGTTTTATCAGCTTGTGCTGATTTCTTTATGTCACTTAATCTCCTTGTTCCTCTATTTTGCCCCTGCTGTTTCAATTTATTGACTAACTTTTGGCAAGGCACGATGGTGGAAGGACACAAAACGATTGAATTACTGTTGCGCACATGGGATTTTATGTAAATGAGCCAGACGTGTGCAGAGAAAGGCATGATCTTGCCCTAAAGGAGCTGTAATCAAGGAGCTCAGGGAACGAGGAAAAGAACTGACTGCCTGCCACATGACAGGCACTGTTAGGCATAGTGAATGAGAGCGCTTGCTTTGAAGCCAGACAGTCCTGAATTCAGATCCCTGCTCTGCCACCTTGAGCAAATTACTTAACTTTCTTAAACCCAATTTGCCTCATCCATACAATGGGGGATATAATGGGACCTGCCTCAGAGGTGTTTTTTTGGGTGAATTAAATAAAATAATGCGTGTAAAGTGTTTTCCAGTATCTGGTTCAAAGTTAGTAACTGGTAGTGATATTAAGATTCTTAACTGTACATGGTATTATTATCCCATTTTATTTATTTATTTATTTATATTTTGAGACAGAGTCTCACTCTGTTGCCCAGGTTGGAGTGCAATGGCATGAACTTGGCTCACTGCAACCTCCGCCTCCTGGGTTCATGTGATTCTCCTGCCTCAGCCTCCTGAGTAGCTGGGATTACAGGAGTGTGCCACCATGCTCGGCTAATTTTTGTATTTTTAGTAGAGATGGGGTTTTACCATGTTGGCCAGGCTGGTCTCGAACTCCTGAACTCAGGTGATCCACCTACCTTGGCCTCCTGAAGTGCTGGGATTACAGGCATGAGCCACTGCTTCTGGCCTATCCCGTTTTATAGTAGGAGATATTGAACCCAAGAGAGTTAGCTAACTTGCCCAAAGTCACACAGCTATTAAGTGGCCACTGAATTGCAGATCCGTTTTACTTCAGATGACATATTGAAAATTTATGCCGTTATAGGGCAGGGGGATTCTGTCTATCGCTACTCTATCCCCAGCACCTAGCTAGTGTCTTTTGGCTTTCAAATATTTGTTGTTGTTAAATGGCATAAAGGGACTTGCTACACACGTTGGAGATGTGCAGATGACTGATGTTGCCGAATGTTTCCCCTACTACGTTTTGTCCGTTCCCAGGCTGCTCATTGGCTTTGACCGAGGATGGTGACGTAGATACGGTAAAGTGCTTTGGTGCTTTCCCATTTGGTTTGACCCTGTGGTTTCCCAGTAATAGGTTCAGGATATTAGACCTTGATCCAGAAGATCCAAAGATGAGGATAAACCTTTAACCATTGCAACTTAAAGCCCCTGAGAGTTGATATTCCCTGTGGAGGAGAATTGTATTGATTTTTTGGAGGTAAAATTTAGAGAACCACATGTTCATACTATTCGATTCCCCTTGATTCAGTCTCTTATCCTCCTCCTGTTTCTTGGACATTTCAGTGTTGCCAGTGAAAAAGTAATGGTTTTAATTTGGTCCTTATTTTTAACCTGCCCCTGAGACTTACATGCTTGCTTATACCATGTATGTAGTGTGTGATTGTGTGTGTTTGTATTTGTCCACATGTCCCAAAACATGGGCTGTTATTTCCTTTTTCTATCTTGGTTTCCTTATTCCCACCCTGCTCTTTCCTTGCAGGTATCTGGACAGGAAGACTTCTCTCATCAGCTTTACCAGAGGAAGCTGCAGGCCCCCCTGTGGCCCAGCTCCCTGGGCATCACTGATTGCTGTCAGTATGTCTCCTCCTGTCACCCCAAGAGATCAGGTGAGCACACGTCACATTCTTGGTTGGCTGTGTCTTCGTGTCCATTTTGGGAGAAAGCTGGTGTCTCAATGACAAGAAAAAGTGTAATCCCTCATTTCTCTTAGCATATTCTTCTGTTTTCTCACTGTCCTCCCAATGGCCGTCCAATAAAACGGGCAACTTTAAATCACAGCCATTGGAAAATCTCCTTGTCTTCTGAATCCTTCCTCTGTGGATCTATGCTGGAAGTTGCTTGGTACTAAGGAGGTCTCAGCATGTTGCTTCATCTTCTTTCACTATATGGCTTTTCCTGGTTTCCAGAGAGACGCAAGTATGGTCGAGACTTCCTGCTACGTTTCCGCTTCTGCGGCATCGCTTGTCAGCGACCAGTAGGATTGGTCCTCATGGAAGGGGTGACAGATACTAAGCCAGGTAATGGAAACTAATCCCAGTGTCTTGGTCTTCTTTCTTCTTCACTCCTGATGTTTGTCGGTTATGTGGTTTCCTGCTCTTTTCTAAGTATAGTTCTTAGAGATTAGCTTCTGGTAATACGTATACTTGGAAGCTCAGTTGAGTTCAGTGGCCATTGCATGGATGTGCAGTGTGATAAGAGCACCAGACCAGGAATCAAGACACCTGAGTTCTAACTAGCTTTGAGAGCTTGGGTAAGCCACTTAACGTTTTTAGACTTAAGTTGTTAATGACTAGCATGTGTACAGCATATATAGGGGAGAAGTTATACACAATGGGGCTTTGAAAATCATAAGGTGACAGTGGTTCTGGTTTTAATAAAAGTTGATCCTACTGAGAAATTTCAGATTGAATGTAGCAGCGTATACTTGACATTCTCCCCCTCTTGTCTCTGAAACCACTTCAAAGCAACAAGGAGAATGGAAAAAAGAAATGTAAACTCCATTGTAGACAAAACTGGGAGATTTGAAGATACCTGACACCAAGAACCACAACACAGAAGGAATGCCTGCAAGAAGCACTGGAGATCGTGCAGGGGTGCTAGAGGAAGTATAGAGAGACTTATCTGGGGGATATGTGGATCTCAGAAAGAACTAGCTGAGTACTTTTTTTCCATCTGGAGCATAAAACCGAAATCCCTTTTTTTTCCTCCAACAAGAATAGAAAGCACAGGTCACGATAGGAGAGTCTCTGGACCAATTTTGATCATATGAGGCAGTGGAGGAAGGACTGATCAAGGATCAAGCCATATTTCTGTTAAGCAATCTGGTCAAGTGGTAGAGAGGGTAGATAAGATACTTGTAGAGCGAGCCGGGCGCAGTGGCTCAAGCCTGTAATCCCAGCACTTTGGGAGGCCGAGGCGGGTGGATCACGAGGTCAGGAGATCGAGACCATCCTGGCTAACATGGTGAAACCCCGTCTCTACTAAAAATACAAAAAACTAGCCGGGCGAGGTGGCGGGCGCCTGTAGTCCCAGCTGCTCGGAGGCTGAGGCAGGAGAATGGCGTGAACCTGGGAGGCGGAGCTTGCAGTGAGCCGAGATCGCGCCACTGCACTCCAGCCTGGGTGACACAGCGCGAGACTCCGTCTCAAAAAAAAAAAAAAAAAAAGATACTTGTAGAGCTACGTATCTTTTGGCTTGGGAGAGAAAGATTAAAAGGATGCCTACATAACCCTGTGTCAAAAAGAAAATTCCTGTTACTTGAAATACCCAGTCCTTCCCTTATATAAACTTTGCACAAATAACTGGTGGAGAAAAACCTCAACTAATTCAAAGCTGGGTTGTCAAAAAGGAAGAGCATGGAATCTGTACTAAAATACTACAAGAAAAAAGGAACAGAAAAACAAAAGGCGGATAAAGAATGTTTAACTTCAAAGATAAAAATAATTGCCATGGAGCTTATAGAAATTATGATGACTTTCTCATGAATAAAGAAATTGTCTTTATTTTATTTTATTTTATTTTTTTATGACGGAGTCTCACTCTGTCACCAGGCTGGAGTGCAGTGGCACCATCTTGACTCACTGCAACCTCCGCCTCCTGGGTTCAAGTAATTCTCTTGCTTCAGCCTCCGGTGTAGCTGGGATTACAGGCGCATGCTGCCATGCCTGTCTATTTTTTTTTTTTTGATTGTAGTAGAGATGGGAGTTTCACCATGTTGCCCAGGCTGGTCTCGAACTCCTGACCTCAGGCAGTCTGCCTGCCTTGGCCTCCCAAAGTGCTAGGATTACAGGCGTGAGCCACTGCGCCCGGTCAAGAAATTGTCTTTATGAAAGAAAGGGCACAAAAATAACTGCCTATAAAGTAAGTTCAGGCATGTGGCAAAACATCAGAAGATGAAATGTAAGCTGCAGAGCTCAGAAAAGAAGTGGAATAAAACATAAAAATATTACAAAACATAAAGACAAAATTGTATGCAGCACAAGTAGGAATAGATACTGTTGAAAACAAGGTAAGAGACAGGCCCGGAAATCCAAACAAAACAAACAAAATGAGAAGTAAAAGGTTAGAAAGGATTAGAGACAAAATGACAGTAGTGAAAGATAAAGGAGATTTAACTTATACATAATTGGAGTTCCCAAAGAAGAAAGCCTATAATATAATAACAGAAAAAAATATTTAAAGATAATTATTCAAGAAAGATTTTCCCAAAGTGAAAAGATGTGAATTTTCAGATTGAGAAGACATGTGTCCCAGTAAAAAATGATACAGGAGCCAGGCACCCTGGCACACACCTATAATCTCAGCATTTTGGGAGACCAAGACAGAAGGATTGCTTGAGCCCAGGAGTTTGAGACCAGCCTGGGCAACAAAGTGAGATACCATCTCTACAAAAAGTCAAAAAATTAGCCAGGCATGGTGACGCGTGCCTGTGGTCCTGGCTACACAGGAAGCTGAGGCAAGAGGATTGCTTGAGCCCAGGAGGTCAAGGCTGCAGTGAGCCATGTCCGTATCACTGCACTCCAGCTTGGGTGACAGTGAGACTAAAGATGTAGGAGAATTAATACTAAGACATTCTAGTGAGGTTCTTGGAAGTCAAAGATGAAAGAGTCTTTTGGGCAAAAAAAAAAAAAAGATGTAGGAGAATTAATACTAAGACATTCTAGTGAGGTTCCTAGAAGTCAAAGATGAAAGAGTCTTTTGGGCAGTTAAAAGATTGAGCTACTTTGAAGTCTAGCAGTAATGAGGTGACCTCAGACCATTTTTTTTTTCTTTTTTCTTTTTTTTTTTTTTTTGAGACAGAGTCTTGCTTTGTCATCCAGACTGGAGTGCAGTGGTGCTATCTTGGCTCGCTGCAACCTCCGCCTCCTGGGTTCGAGTAATTCTCCTGCCTCAGCCTCCCCAATAGCTGGGACTCTGGGCATGCACCACCATGCATGGCTAATTTTTTTGTATTTTTAGTAGAGATGGGGTTTCACCATGTTGGCCAGGCTGGTCTCAAACACCTGACCTCAGGTGATCTGCCCACCTCAGCCTCCCAAAGTGCTAGGATTACAGATGTGAGCCAGCGCACCCGGAAGACTTCAGACTTCTTAATATTGACATCCAACTCCAGAAGACAGTGGATTAAGGTTTCTAGGAAAGAAGATAGAGTTCAAGAATATTATACTCAACTAACAACCTTTCTTCAAGAAACTACTAGAGGAGTAACTGAAGGCAACCAAGCAATGGCTGGGAAAACTATAGTAAAAGGACTGCTGATTAACACTGAATTTATTTTTTTCTTGTAAGAGTTTAATTTGAATTGGCATTTTTCACAGAGCAACAAACATGTCTGTGGCCCAGTTTATTTTTAATTGCAAAGTGAAAGTATTATTACAGCTCTGTCAATAGCAATAGTAATAACAATGATGGCCACCCTGTATTGAGTGAACCAGCAGGTACAGGAACTGGGATAAGTAAATTCTGTGTCAGTCAGGTTCAGGCAGAGGAGCTCAGTGGTTTAGGATTACAAAAACAGTAACAGGATCTCACTTAGATAATTTCATATTAAGAATAGGTTATTTGGCCGGGCGCGGTGGCTCAAGCCTGTAATCCCAGCACTTTGGGAGGCCGAGACGGGTGGATCACGAGGTCAGGAGATCGAGACCATCCTGGCTAACACGGTGAAACCCCGTCTCTACTAAAAATACAAAAAACTAGCCGGGCGAGGTGGCGGGCGCCTGTAGTCCCAGCTACTCCGGAGGCTGAGGCAGGAGAATGGCGCAAACCCGGGAGGCGGAGCTTGCAGTGAGCTGAGATCCGGCCACTGCACTCCAGCCCGGGCCACAGAGCAAGACTCCGTCTCAAAAAAAAAAAAAAAAAAAAAAAAAAGAATAGGTTATTTAAATCAGTGATGTACTTGAATGAAACATAAAATAAATAGTAACAAAATTAAACCAAGAACCTTTAAAGTATATACTGACAACCACTTTGTAGGTAGAAAAGACTCATTCTATAGGGGCAAAATAGCCAGTTCCCCAAAGGTGCAAAATAACAGTAGTATTTTGAAAATTGAGATTAGATTTGGGTAAACACTCATTCTCCACATACTCTGAATGTACCCTTCTGTTTGTTCAATGCTCCTACCCAGGGCTGAACAGGCTCTTGATGAATCTCTTTTAAAGACTCTAAATCTAAATTTTTTTTTTTCATGGCAGAGTCTCACTGTTTCACCCAGGCTGGAGTGCAGTGGTACAGTCGCGGCTCACTGTGTAGCCTTGATCTCCTAGGCTTGAGTGATCCTCCCACCACAGCCTTCCGAGTAGCTGGGACTATAGGCACATGATACCATGCAGAGCTAATTTTTGTAATTTTTGTAGACATGGGGTTTCACCATGTTGCCAAGTCTGGTCCCGAACTCTTGAGCTCAAGCCTTCCTCCCGACTCGACCTCTCAAAGTGCTAGGATTATAGGAGTGAGCCACCATGCCCAGCCAACTATCCTTATTTTAAAAGGGCCATGAATGGAGTACAAGGAGATCTTAGTGTGTGAGTTCATTTTTTCTAGAGGCTCTGTTTAGATATGCTAACAATATTTCCAGTTCAATACCAGAATCATCCAACCCAACTGTGCATTTCAAAACATGACAACTTAACTGTGACACTAGCTTGAATGGGGAGCCTCGGAGTACAAAGAAAGATTCAGTGCTAGGTAGTGATGGTTTGATTTTCCCATAAGCTGACATTGCATTGTAGTGGAGCATTCTGCGCCATCAATGTGTATAATAAAATACATTGTGATTTTTACTATTTCCAACTCCCTTTGTTTTTTTTGTTTGTTTGTTTGTTTTGGTTTTTTTTTTTTGAGACGGAGTCTCACTCTGTCACTCAGGTTAGAGTGCCATGACACAATCTTGGCTCACCGCAACCTTTGCCTCCTGGGTTCAAGCAATTCTTGTGCCTCAGCCTCCCGAGTAACTGGGATATACAGGCATGTGACACCACGCCCAGATGGTTTTTGTATTTTTAGTAGAAACAGG